GCAAGGGAGGTTGGAGGACCGGGACAGAGGACTGAAGCAGAGTCCAAAATGGAGTGAGCGGCATGAGAGACGTAGCAGGAACTTGGCCTGAGAAGGATTCTTTACAAAGGGAGCCTAAAGAACACATTGACATGGGCTTGAACATTCAGGCTCTGGGCCGTGCCGCCTGCTCCTGCCCACACTCTCACTCAGGACACTGGGACAGCTGGGACGGTGCAGGCACCACCATTGGCAACTGCTCTGCCCCAACACACCCCCCTTTGGGGCCAGGACCCCCCAACAACGTGCGGCAGTCCCGCTATGGCCGTACTGCGGGGCCGCTCGTCGGGCTCCTCGGCGCGCTCTCCTTTGTCTTTGGGAGGGGGCTTAGGAGGACCGTCGGGTTTTCTGTCGGCACTTCGCTGTCCCTCCTCTTCGTCCTCCCCGTCGGGGAACTCCCATTGCGACTCTCCCGAGCGTTCGTTAACATAGAAATAGCGTCTATGCTCCCTAGATCACAAGAAAGAGAAGGAGGCTTCAGCTTCCCTTCTCCGCCCCCGACACTCCAGGCGGGCCTGCCCACGACAGCGGTGCGCTCTCGCAGGGGAGACCCTCGTGCAGCGGGGCTGCCGCTCTCCCAAACGCGACAAACAACTTTGAGGACAGAGGCAGGAGAGGCCCGAGCCGACTCGCTCAAAGCTATTTGCCATGGCTGGCTGCGGGACGTCGCCCTGAGCCCCCCGCCCCAAGGGAGGGGAGGGCCGGGAACGCCGGCGACGTCTCGCTAAAGCATCGGGACTTTCAGCACGGCCTCGGCCGAAAGTCGCCCTCCGAGAAGAGGCACCGGGGAACAGCCCAATGGAGGGAAGAGGCTGCCCCCCTACCCCGTGGTGCGCGGAGGTTTTTTATGATACTCTTGGTGTCAAACACACAGTGAATGCTAGAGAGAGGGAGCGGATCTGGGAGCTGAAAAACAAAAGAGCAAAGATTTCAAACAAAGGAAAATTAATCAAGAAAGCCAAATAGACAAAGAAATGTTTGGGTCTGACCTGCTGGCAGAAGACAGAAATCTTGTTCTTCGTTCCGCCGGTGAGTTGAAGTTTGTCCTTTGGCAGAGCTGTTGGTCAGAAGAGTTGATCCAGAGATCCTGAAAAGTTCACAGAGCTCTCGCATGCGCGACCCCCCAGGCCCGCCCTCCACAGCGCTTGACACTCGCGAGAGGGACAACCAGCTCTGTCCGTCAGGGAATCGGCTCCGTCGCAAAGCACCGGGCACTCCGTTTGGATCTTTCCGTTTGGTGGCCGGCCCAAACTCTGCGAGTGCCGGGATGTTTCTCTGCCTGCCCAGCACTAACAGAAGCCGCTCTCAGTTCTGCCAGAGGGACGGCGCCAGCGTCGTCGGGTGGTTGATGGTCACAAATCATGTCTGAGATGTCAGAGATGAAAGGTGAGAAAGGAGGAGAGCGCGTACCTGTCCCAGTGGCAGGACCAGCCTTTAGGGGTGGCGTTTATTTCGTATTGTTTAAGCTGTTCGGCTGCGTCTTGGAGTTTGCGTTTGAGGTAGTTTCCATTGAGAGCACCTTCTCGCCAGTCTGCAATGCGGGTCTAGAGGGCAAGAACCGGGGGAAGCCGGTGAGGTGGGCTGGGAGCGGCCCCAGGGGGGACGGGACTCGAGGATCGGGAGGCTCCCTTCCAACACGGGACACCGGGGGCCAGGAGGGGGACACCCCGCCTGGCATAAGCCATGCTCCCCCCCGCCGAGGAAGGGAAGGCCCCTGCGCGCGAGGACACGAGGTTCACGCAGCACCGCGCTCGGAACGCGAATTGGATCCAATCCGCTCCGGAACACGAGGCCGGAGCGGGGGGCGAAGGCTCGGTTACCTCTGTCTGCAACAGCAACATGTGGAAGTTGGAGATAGATTGTCTGTTGATGCCCAGGAACTCCAATTTACTAGTCAGAGTATTTGCCAGCTCTCCGATCTGAAACTGCCAGGAGAAAGGGCAGAGTCAAGAGCCGCCCTCCGGGAGTGGCACCGGGCGGCTGCGGCCCCATGGCTCCCAGGAAACACCGCTCGGGAACACCGGCAGCCCCTCAGCCCGGCGGGACTGGGACGTGCCACCCTGGCCCTGTGTGCCTGTCACCCGCCCCGTCCTGCACCCCAGGGACAGGGCAGTGTGGGGAGGCCGGGTGACACCTCCTCCACAGACCGTGCCCGACTCCGTGCGGAAGGACGGCAGGGGCTCGGGTTGCTCTGGTACTCTGGAGTTACAGCAGAGCCATCGCCACGGCAGAAAGTGCAAAATCTAATTGTTTCCCAAATAAACGGGCTGGGATGACATTCCAGGTTCTATAAATCATTGCTTTCCAGAAGAACTAGCTGGAAAGCGCCAGAAAGGGACAACAGCAGCTGTGTCAAAACTCAGGTCAGCCCACGGTGACCACAGCTACTCAACCCCAGTGTCCTATGGGAGTGAAACCTCCCATCTGGGGACACGGGGATCCCTGGGTCCATCTCCCTGACTGGGGGCACTGCATGGAAGCAGCCACGAGCCAGAAAGGAATGAGAAGCAGGAACAGGGATGCCTGCAAGGGGCATTGCCACTGCTTTAAGGAGGGCTCTAAAAATGTCTGGTTTTAGCTTCATTCCTCAGAAAAGGCTTAGGAATGTCCACAATGCCAGCAAGGCAGCATCTGTCCCCAGAGAGAGGCCAGGCCAGACAGACAAGCCCTAGAGAAGCCTGAGGCTGGGATATGAATTCCCATGTTAACATGGCTCCGGAGAAGCCAGGGAAGATCTCAGAGCAGAGAGTGACTTGGCAGCAGCGGCCCCGGCACAGCTCCTGTAACCAGAGAGGTTATCCCGACCCGATGAGCAAACGGTACCGGTTACCCGGGGAGCCGGCATTCCTCCGACAGCTCTAAGGGAATCCTGCATGGAAAAGCACCACGGGGTCTGTCACGGCGCCCGCCGGGACCGGGAGGACAAGGGACAGCACAGGGGACCAGCGAGCCCCGCCCTGCCACAGGCTTTTGTTATTTTAATTTAAATAAAATTGTTAAAAAAATCAGGTCTTGCGCGGATGCTGCACTGAGGGAGACTCAGTTTTGCGCTGGGAACATCACATTGCTAAACCTTTGAAGGGTTTTCTTATGGGAGAAATGTGGAATTTTTCACAAGGACAGCACCAAAGCCCTTCCCTTTCGCACCAGTAAAATGATTAAGGGGTGTGAAATGAGGTCAGGGATGGGCAACTCTCGCTGCAGGTTCCACCCAGGCTCCACCACGAGCTGATGATTCCCCATCTGCCACAGTGAGGTGACAACATTTCCCAACGCCACTCCGGAGCCAAATTTTATGCTGCAGGAGATCTCAGCGTAATGAACGACAAGGGAATCATCCAAAGGACAATCAGGAAAGTTCTCCCCTACTGCTCTGCCATGCTCTCCCAGAGCCCAGAGCTCTGCTATGGATCAGGGAATCGATGTGCTGCAGCCAAAGGAGCAAACCAAGGCTCGGGAAAGAAAATATCAGCAGGATGCTGCAGAAATCCCCAGGGCCTCCCTGGTTTGCCTCTACAAGTAATGCCGGGCGAAGGGCAGAGCGGTACCGTCAGCCTCCAGAAACGGAGAGAGTACGGACGAGGAGTCTTCAGCCTGGAAACGGGACGACTGACCGGGCCAGAGACTGGAATATCGTTATTGGTGAAAACAAAGTCAAGATCAAAGTGGTTGTTCTCTGTCACGACAACATCCAGGGCTCAGTCTTTGCCCCCCCCGCACCCTCCTTTTATCCAAGCTTTTGCTGCTGGATCCTGCTGGAGACAGGATTTTGTCCCAGTGCTGCACAGCCCTTCCTTCACAAGCTGTTCCCGTGGCCACACCAGGATGTGAGCTTTAAGAGCTCCACCTGGGCCAAAGCCAGAGCCCAAAGCTCTGGTGTTCCCAGGGAGGAGGCGGCTGGGGCAGCCAGCGTGTCCCTTGTCCCTGCTGAATGCCGAGGACCCATCACATCCCTCGCCTCACCGACACACACCTCTGCTTATCCGTACCTTTAGGTCCTGCTCCTCCTCTTCCATTTTTGGAGCCCCTTGGGATTTTGCTTTTTCCTGGGGCTCCTCAGATTCTGCCTCTTTGTCTGAGCTCTGATCAGCTGCTTCCACGCTTGGGGCTGCAGGAGAAGGAAGGACAGGTCAGTCTTTGTCCCACCACCACCCCAGCAGTGCCAGCACCCGGCTGGACACCCTGCCCGGAGCCAAAGCCAACGTGGGAAAGGGCAGGGAAAGAGCTGGGACCTCTATTCCACGAGAGCCAGTGACAAGAGCCTGAAATTAAAAAGGAGAGACAGTCACTGCCCTGTGTTTTGGTGGTGGGGCCCTTCCAGAAGGATAACACAGGGAGAATTGGACCTGCTACAGCACAAAGCAGGAAGGAAGAATGGCCTGGAATACAAGGCATCTCAAAATCTATCAGTTTAATAACCAGCCAATAAAAGCTTCGGGGTATTAAATAAGTTAATTATCAAAGACTGAAGAGCTCCCCAAAAGTTGTCAAGACCAGAGGGTTTTGCCTCTGGATAACTAATTCACTGTCCAAGTGACAAATTCCAGGGAGAGAAGTTTGTGATAGAATCCCAAAGCCCCCAGGGGAAAGAAACCCCAATTCCCAGTGTGTGTGTCCTGGTGCTGCAAGGCAGGACAATTCCCTAAATCACCCTCCCGCAGGAAGGTGCTCAATTTAAACTGGTTGTGTTGGAGTGACAGTTTCCTGTTCCTCAGGTTAAGAAGGGGGAAATGGGTGCTGCTGGGAACAGTCAGCTTCAGGGATGCTTGGAAAACCACTCCTTGGAGCCACTATGGAAAAATGACATCACTGACTTAGTGCCGGAGTTGTCACCCAGCTCACACCGCTGCCTGAAGCAGAGGCACCTTAGGAAATGGGGCAGGCACCAACACAGCCTGCTCCAGGCACTTTTGTACCAGTTTTTCCTTGGAAAAGCAGTTTCATTCAGCTTTCTGTGCTGCAGGCAGTTAGCCTGAAGCCTCATGCTGTGAAGGGACTGGCACATCTGGAGAAAAGGAGGCCCGGGGGGATCTTCTCCTTCCCCACATCTCCCTGACAGGAGGGGAGAGCCAGGCGAGGATCGGGCTCTGCTCTCAGGGAACAAGTGACAGGGCAAGAGGAAATGGCCTCAGGCTGTGCCAGGGGAGCTTTAAGTTGGGTTTTAGGGAAAATTTCTCCATGGAAAGGGCTGTCCAGCCCTGGCACAGCTCTCAGGGCAGCAGTGGAGTCCCCCTCCCTGGAGGCATTTAAAAGCCACATGGATGTGGCTCTTGGGGACATGGTCAGTGATGGCCTTGGCAGCCTTGAGGGAACAACTGGACTCCATGATCTCAGAGGGCTTTTCCAACCCGAACAATTCCATAATTCTACAGTCTAGGAGTCCTGGGGCTGCTGGGCACAGGGTGTTCTTTTAAATGCTGCAGCTGGTGCATTTTGGGAATCACAGCACTGGAGGATCTGACAGGAACATGAGGAGTGGTTGGGGGCAACTGATATGTCCACACACACCTGGAATGGATCTGGGACTACCTTGCCACAAGGGCTGGAGTTACATTCCCCACACACCGAGTGTGGAGCCCAAGTGGCTCTGGGGAAACCTCAGCTGTCTGGAATTTGGCCACTGTTACCAGGCAGCTCAGAAACTGGCCTTTGAAAGAGGAAGGCAACAGTTCCCAGTGTGCCACAGGTTGGATTTGTGCTGTTGAGAGGAAGTCAAAGGCAGTGGGATGTGAGGAAGCTGTTATCCATGTCCCTTCTCCCAACAAACCACTGATCATGGGCACTCTCCTGTTTACATGATTAACAAGGATAAAGGAGAGAATATGGCAGAGAACAGCTTGTCCTGGTGGGGCAGGGCTGTGACACTGGGGACAGCCACCCCTCGGCCTTATCCCCACACGTACCTCACGGCCCTTCCCGGCTCTGCTCCACAGGTCTTCGGGGAAGGGAGACCCCCCGCTCCTCCCTCCGAAGGGAGCCTTTCCAATTACCTGCTTCTCC